GAAGAAAATTAACTCTATCCCAGCCGAAACTAGGACAGGTGATCAGGCCAGAAAGTGGGTCAGCTATTTCAAATATTATGTATTTGAAATTTAAACAGATGGGTGCATGATTAGGAACTTGTATATTCTAAAATCTCAAGGTGGAATTAATATTTAGTACCAGCTAGTGTCATTTCTCTTTAAACTTAGAGCCTTAAGAGCTATCTTAGCTTTTGGAATCTTTTATTACAGAGATGATAAAGTTAACATTTTGACATGTTGACTCTTGTTGGCACTTCAAAGGGATAATACCAGATTGCAGAAAGCTCTAAGTTAACTAAAGCTATTTTTAATAAGTTTTAGGAAAAACAATTCCAAAAGAAATGTTCCCACCCATGTTTTCCCCTCTGTTCTGAATAATTCCCAGTGAAAGTCTACTCAAAAAAAAAAAAACCAAACAAACCACCAAAAAAGAATGAAACAGAACATTGAACAAGAAATATATGTGGCGAAGTGTAAGTAAAGGGAGAGCAACTAGCAGGAGAAGGAAATATAAAACATAAGTACCAAAATTTAGTCCATTGATTAGGCATTTTGTGCGTTAGTATATGCTTGTAATGCACCACATCTTAAAGTATGCGTAGGGGTGAGTGTTTGTTAAATTAAGAGTTCTGATTATTTCCCCCCTCCTGTATATGAGCAGGTGAGTGTCTTTGGGAATTCCAGCTGGCAGTTTGATGATGTGAGAAAGCAGTGTTATTTTCATCAGTTTGGGAAAGAACAGCCAGACTTAAATTTTCGCAACCTTGCTGTCCAACAAGAAATCCATGTAAGTATGTAACCTGCTGCTGCGCCAACAGCAAAGCAGCTATTTCTACACTTAACTTCTCTGATTATTTGTGCTACACAATTTACAGTCTAGTTGGAAGTAAATCAAGGATTGCAGTGTATGTAAGCAATTGAAGCAAGAAGGTGTGTAGACCAACATTAAGTTCATAAGCAAAATTCAAGCTTTATGCCGTAATGCTTCCAGTATTGGAGCTACTTTGCTTTTTAATTTAAAAGCAAACAAGCAACCAAAAAAAAATCCAAATAAAATTGTCCTTTAGTGGAAGTACTGGCAGTGGGTGGTGTTGCGGTCCTCTGGATTTTAAGAAGGTGTGACTATTGCTTTTTTGCTGGCTTAAGTCCCCTTCTCTCACAAGTGCCTGGCAAGATCTTGATGGGTTTTTGGAACAGGCTATTGCACTTTAAAAGGAGCTTCCTTTCCCTTTCTCTTCCCACTAAACACTATCTTAAAATTGCTTTGATGCTTCAGGACCCTTCTACTTTTCAGGCCAACCTTATGTGCAAACTGTTCATACTTAGCTCTCTATGAACCAAACCTGTCCTTCAGCTGGAATAGCTTTTCCCACCCTTGTTTATGCTTATTTGTTTTTCAGCTCTGACAACATCCCGCTTCAGCTTTTGTTAAGCTAGGTTAAATGGGGTGGGCTTTTCCAGTCTTCCCTGAAGTGAAAGACTCTCCATCCCTTTGTTTAGCTGCTACTTATTCCACTGAGCGCTTCCAGCCTGAGGTTTTTCTCAAATGCAGATGGCCAGAAGTAAACAAACTTAACAGAAAAGCTATCTGGACAGAATCTTGTACAGCGGCATAGGTACTTCTCCCTCTGTGTCCTAAGATTGCTTTGAAGTTGGTGCTAGTAGTCAAATAATCCAACATGACTGCTGTCTGGAAGCAGTTAACTGCTATCAGCTCCAGTCTGCCTCAGGAGCCAAGGATGAAGGCACTTAGCGCCTTTGGATGTTGTATCAAGGACAACAATTAATGGAAGGATTTGCCTGGAAGGAAAAGCGGCTCTTTGCACTGAAGCCCGTGCTGAAGCAGAGCTGAATCACTCAAGTTTTTATCTCTGATACAAGGAGCTGTTAATTAGCCAGTCAGATGTGGGGAAGGCACCTTGTTTTAGCAAAGAGATGTTTGCATTTTCAAGGAAGTGAGGCAATGCTGATTTGAATTACAAGGAATGCCTGGGCTTGTGGATAAGGGGGAGATAGTGAGTTTCAATCTGTCTACATCTCTGATGCCTTTACTGGGGAGAGAGCTGGACAGCCCTCACAGCGAGAGTGCTTCACCACAGCAAGGTGGTGCCCTGATGAAACCTCATGCCTGTCTGCATCAGGTCTCCCACCAGATAATGTAGAATTCATGAAAATATGGGGAAGTGGGCCTGAACATGGGGAGTCTGACAATTGCTTTTCTTTTTTCCTTTAAAAAAAAAAAATACCCCATCAGGTAGTACAGCTACCTCAAGCGTTTTGATTTAGTCCTTCAGTGTTTGCTACTTTGTACTGTTGAATTTTGGTGCATTTCTTTGGCAGTAGTCTTCACAGCTGCCCAGTTCTACTGTGATTGTCTCACTGTCTCTCTGGGGCCTCTCCCCTCACCGCGGGTACTGCATGTGCATGACGAAACAAAGCACCTTTGGTTGTACCTGTTAACTAAAGCATGACGTGAGACTGCTCTCGACACTGATTCCTGCAGAACTCCGCTAGTAATCTCGCTCCATCTTGGTACTTCCCTTAATGCCACGTCTTTCCACTCACACCTTTTTTCCTAGCATCGCACATACTTTTCAGTGGTCCTGGCTAATTTTTTTTTAATGGTACCTGATACATTACTGAAACTCCAGTAGCAAATAGATGCTGCATTTCCTATGCAAAGAAACGCAATGAAAACTGGTAAGTTTGGCCTGATAACACCAACCTTGGCAAATGCTTATGAACATCATTAATTGCTCGAGCATGTTAAAGAATAATCCTTGTCTAGTATTTTAATTCAAAATCCTGTTTCAGAAGGTTAGGTCTGTGGGACTGAGCAGGAAGCAAACTTATGCTTCCAGAGAAGCTCAAGTCCTTGGTTTAGCCAAAAGGTATGTGGGAGCAATGAAACTTAGCAGCCACTGTGCTGTAGCTTCCTTGCGTAAGTAAAAGTAGATCAGTCTCAGTGAGTACCATATCAGTGCTTGATATTTGCACTGCTGATACCTGGTGTTGCTTTTGTGATGAGCACATGCATAAACACAAATTAAATTTTGGTGGACTCAGTATTGGGCAGACACCATATCGAGAGCTGCTGCTTTCAGAATGGCTCTACAAGTACAGCTCGGTAAGGTGGAGTCTTTATTTGACAAACAAAAATCCGTAAAGCAGAGTGTGGAGTAGTTCTACTCCAGCCTATTCAGGCAAGTCTACTTCATGCATTTAAAAAAGGTAATTTGATAGCTGTCTTAAAAGTTTTTGTCCTCAGATGAAGAAGAGTATCTGGTCTAAAAGAATGTTTGCGAAAACACTCAAGGAAGACTGAACTTTAGAGCTGTTTGTTAAAACTAGAGCAATTAAAACTGTGGAATATAATAGGTACTCAAGTAGGATATACTTTTGCTAATAGTGACTAACTTCTGAATTTGATAGTGAAATTACAAATTGATAGCAGTTAACTTGAATAATAATTTTTCACGTTCCTGCAAAATCAACAAAATAAGCCTGAAAATAAAATAAAAAATTTCACATCAGTCAAATAAGACAACAAATGTTTTAAGAGCTGTGTTGTATAAAAAGAAAAGTGGTGGCACAAGGTCTGTGCAGAAGGACATATTCTTGCATATTTGAATCAGTGTGTTCTAATTGTGTGCAGCCATGATGGGTGTTCACCAACAACAGCGCTTAGCATGAGCCCAATTGTTTTGATGGATGAGATTAGAAACAGCTTTTAGTGAGGCACACCCTGGCTTTGGTCTCATGAATTACGGGAGAAGTTACCGACCAGGCTTTTTCTTTTCTATACTGGATGAAATAATAAGACATGCTCTATTTAGATCTTAGTTTGATCTTAGATCGATGTGATTAACTTCTAGTAAAACTTGAAGTACAAACTAAAAAATAAACTGTTACATATTAATACCTACCAACAGGCTTAGTTTTCTTTTTAAGTATGTACTATTTTGAACAGGGTGGGCTCACTTGGAATTCTCAACTTTTACCTTTGTCTAGGATATTATTAAATTTTGGCTCGGCAAAGGAATTGATGGATTTAGTTTCAGCGCTGTTAAATTTCTTTTAGAAGCAACACATCTCCGAGATGAGCCTCAAGTGAACAAGTCCCAGAATCCAGTAACGTATATGTTCTGTCTTTGCTTTTTTTCCCTGTATTTCCTGCTGCGGATAGAGAGTGTATGTTTTTACTCTTTTGGGTCTTGATTATGGCTTTAGAAAGATAGTCAGTTGTGTCCCTTGGAAGGCAGGTGGCTCCTGGGCGCTCTGCAGAAAGAGCACATACAAGAAAGGGGTGTAGGTCAGTGAGATACCTGCAAGCAGGAGTGCTGTGGGTGGGAAGAGAATTGTCCATAAGCACTTCATAGTTCTGTTCTGACAGTGTTGTTTGAATTTTCTGTTTAAAATAATTTTATTTTCAATATATATTCTAAAAAGACCAGTCTTGTGTTTTAATAGTTGATTTCTTGTCTTTGGTGAGCCCACTACAGGAGGTAAGCTCTGAGCTCTTGCCTAGTTGGGATCCCATAGCAGTCGCTAGTGTGTATGTCTTCTACATTGCTAGTAGGAATCACAGTAAAACAAAAAAAACCTTTTATTGGCAATATGTCCCAGTGAGAGGTGGCCACACGCATTTAGAAGCATGCACCCTGTTATTTATGCTATTTGCTTTTGCTGTGAAGTTAGTGACGTTCCCAGATAGTTCCAGCACTAAGGCACTGTTGCCCTGTGGAGTCTGGGATCGCATAAAACTGATGAGCTCTGCAAGTATCGTTGCCTTTATAAGTTACGACAACAACATTGTCCATCTTTGCACCTGGTGTGTGGCCACAGTGCCTGCTGTGCTCGCTGCTGCAGATGGGCTCGGTTGGTTAGTGCTGTGAGTGGACTCTCCCTCTTGAAGGATGGGACCCAAAATAATCAGCCCTCTGCTATCATATCTTTGGAGTGCCCCAAGCGCAGTTCAGCTCTGTGCTGTTAGTGTTAGTATGCTAAACTCATTTCAGTTAAAATTTACCTGGACTGGTGCATTATCTCAGGAAAGGATGGGAAGAATTTGGAGAGTTCTGACATCTAAAATACTGGTGAACTAGTGGGAAATATTGCTTTTTTCTTTAAGGAGAGTATCACAGCCTATTCCCAGCTCTACCATGACTACACGACCACGCAAGTTGGTATGCATGATATCATCCGTAGCTTCCGTCAAACCATGAATCAGTTCAGCAGTGAACCTGGCCGATACAGGTAATCATTATTACAGCTAGTTAGTTTTTCTCTAATATTTGTCACCCTGTTGCTAGCGATAAAATGGTTTTTTTAATAACATAAAAAGTTTTCTTCCTCAAATGCAAATAGTGGTGAATAGGCTATATTACCTCTTTCCCAGTGTGTGAGGGAAAGGAAATTAATTTGCCCTGGTAGTTCTGCTGTGTCTATGGACTGTACAAAAGTAAGCAGAATGGGCAACCATTCGGACCAGAGACACTGTAACTAATCAGCCCTGTGGCTGATTTATTGTATAGTATTAATAGGACCGTTCATGTCAGACACATCGTCAGAGATTGCTAAAATCACAGAATGGCTGAGTTTGGAAGGGACCTCTGGAGGTCATCTGGTCCAACCCCCCTGCTCATCGGGGCCACCTAGAGCTGGTTGCTCAGGACATTGTCTAGATGGCTTTTGAACATCTCCAAGGATGGAGAGTCCATGACCTCCCTGGGCAACCTGCTCCAGTGCCCAGTCACCCTCACAGTGAAAACGTGTTTCCCGATGTTCAGAGGGAACCTTCTGTGTTTCCATTTGCACCCATCGCCTCTTGTCCTGTAACTGGGCACCACTGAAAAGAACCTGGCTCAGTTGTCTTTCCACCCTCCCTTCAGATATTTATATACATTGATGAGATTCCCTCCCTGAGACTTCTCTTCTCCAGTCCCACCTCTCTCAGCCGCTCCTCATAGGAGGGATGTTGAGTCCCTTCATGGTCTTCGTGGCCTTTTGCTGGACTCCCTCCAGCAGGTCCATCTCTCTCTTGTACTGGGGAGCCCAGAACTGGACACCACACTCCAGGTGTGGCCTCACCAGTGTTGAGTAGAGGAGAAGGATCGCCTCCCTCAAGCTGCTGATAATGGTCCTCCTAATGCAGCCCAGGATACCATTAGCCTTTTTTGCTGCAAGGGCACATTGCTAGCTCATGTTCAACTTGGGGGACCCCCAGGTCCCTTTCTGTAAAGGAAAGCATGGAAATTGCTGGAATGGACTTATGTGGATTCAGAAAGGTAAGACTTCGGTCAGATACTTACTGCCTTTTGTTGACTCTTATATATTTTTTCTCCAGAAACTTCCAAGAAATATTCTCCTTGTCTCCTTTACAAAATACTGTTTCTCTGCATTGATCTTTTTTGAAGGGGAGGGGGGAAGCGAACATAATCCTTAATGCTGTGTTATTTTCTAAGCATGTTCAGCACTATTCCTAGCTTTCTTCTGCTCTGTGCAAATCAAGAATGAGCCAAAAAAGGTACTTGCATACTTTGTAGATTTATGTGTTCTGATGGTGATGAAAAGGAAGACATGGAAGCAACAATGATGTATTATGGAACATCTTTTATCCAAGAAGCAGACTTTCCCTTCAACTTCAACCTAATTAACATGAAAAATCTATCAGGCAACAGTATTTTTGAAGCTGTCAACTTGTGGATGAAAAAGATGCCTGCAGGAAAATGGCCAAACTGGGCGGTAAGAGTTCTAGACCTACTCTTATAGGAAGGGCCTGTTTCTATAGGTGATAGAAACCTGTAGGTGATAGTTCCTCTTACGGCAACAGAAAACTCCCACAAACGTATACACTGATTTTGGTGGGATCAGCAGCAGCCTGAGCCCATGGCTGAGCTACAGTAGATATCCACACAAAACTCTCAGCTGCAGTCATCGCAGTTGTTGGCACTGGCCAGCCGGCTGGCTGTTCCTGCCCTTTGATAACAGTTACACTCCCGGTGCAAGGGTGACAGAAGAAAATTTATGATCATGCCTTTCCCTCAGTGCCTCCAATGTAGTATGGGGCACTGGGTTAAACCACCAGTGAGGATGGGATTATCTTTGGCCATAAACTGACTCAATGCAATGGATTCTGGAAACCTCCCAGGGCCAGGGAGGAACATAGCAGGCAGCAGAGGGCAGTTAACTTAAAACCTTGCTCATCTTTGCTAGGAAGCTTGATCGGGATGTGCAAAAGATCTTTTCAAAACAAGCACCACCTTCACACAGCAGAAAAAATGGCAGAAATCTGAGGGAACTGTGATCGTGGAGAGTTGTTATTTGTCATCTCTCCTCAGTTCTGCCTCATGTGCTGCTGGCAGGGCTTCTGTGTGCTGCATTATTTGGTGCAGAAGTTTGTACTGGCACCAAGATTAAGGCAATTGCCCTCACAGGCCATGAGGGGAAAGAAAAAAAAGAAAAGAAAAAAAAACCCTACTAGGTTAAATTTGTTAACCAATTTCACATATACATGGAATTTTATAATGTGTGTTTAACAGAATGATATTTTCTTTAGGTTGGAAGCCCTAACGCTGCTCGGATTTCATCTCGGATTGGGAAGGAGTATGTCAATGTTATAAACATGCTGCTTTTAACCCTCCCTGGTACTCCTGTAACTTACTATGGTGAAGAAATAGGCATGGAGAACATTGCATCAAAAAATGTAAGTGAAGAGCGTATAAACTCTTATCCTGTTGTTTAGTTCCGAGTAATAGAGCTTTCAAAAATACAAGAACTTTTGTTAACAAAACCCAGTCTTTCTCACTGTTTAGATGGCTTTCTGTGTTCCCCATGGCAAAACCATTGGGCAGCAGGCAGAAATGGCCAGGCCAGAGAGCAGAACCAAGGCCTTGATGTGTGTCTGAAGTGCTAGACCGCAATCATGGTCCCCGATTTCTGTCCTCTGCCAGATCAGTCTTGCATGGTTTGCAGCGCTGTTGCTTCGTTTGGCTTCAGCAGAAGGGGCAGCAAGCGCCAACACCGGGCCTGGGCTAGTGGTTATGAGAGGTGCATTGCAGTCATCCAAGCAAGAGGAACAGAGTCACTATCTCTTTCCTCCCGCAGAAGTACCCTAATTGCTATGTCAAAGTCCATTATTTCCTGGCTGCTTTTTAAAGGAAATCAGAGTTCATGAGAGAGCATAGCTACAGTCACTGTCTCCTGCAGACTGCTTTGCCCCGACTATGCAAAAGGCACCTAAGCCACAGCCCTCTACAATGTGCCCAAGCTGTGAAGAGGGGATCTCCAGAAAGTGGTGGGTGTACAGACCAGCCCCTGCTCAGCATTGCCAGGGGGCAAGCAGAAATGGCTTTTGTTTATCACGCAGGGTTTTTTGATTTGTCTTTTAGATCCCTTTTTATAAAGGATTTAGGTACCTGAGCCTAAAAACCAGGTGCCTAGCCCACTTGATCAGTTACAAGTAACACATGCCAGGATCTTTGTGTTATTTAGATTACAGAAATTTTCAGCAGTAAGTTTATTCAAGGTCAAGAGATTAAAACAAAATGTCTGTGCCTTTCACGCTGTGCTGACCTAAAAGTGTTCCTTACAAGCCCCTGTAATTTCTTGTCTCTTTTATCATCATACCTGACTTTGGTTGTGCCTCGTTGTCCGAGATGTGTGGGCATGACTGGAAAAGATCATGCCCAAAAGGGAACAGCTTGGCTCTGCCTCTTATGACCACTTTTGAGGGCCATGATCCTATGGCAGATCCGTGGTCCTATGGCAGATGTTGCTTTCACTGCGGAAAGCCTCTGCTAGGGAATGAGACGGCCTCTGCTGATGTTACCAGTGGTGTTGGCTTGTTTCCCAAAGGGAAGAGG